AGAAAATGTACTTTGTACTGTCTGTTTCTTCCCTTCCCACTGTGTTCGACAATCCTATCAACCTCATGTCCGCCATTGATTGCGCGGGGAATCATTGACTCTCGGTATTTGAAAGTCTCAGGTGATTCATACGAAAACAACTTTGACGCATGAAAGACTGGGTATGTGCGCAAGTGTGCAGGCACATCAATCGTGTAAGAAGGACCGAAGGAATCACTCCCTACCTGGTTCAAGACCTGCCACAGACCGTAGTACTAAGGAAGAAGTTTTCATGATACACCTTCCTCTTCAGAAAACTCAGACATTTTAACCCAAGCATAACTTCCCACTGTGAATGGTGCAGGCTGGCGCTTTTTGTTAGCATGTTTAATCATGGCGCTGCGTCGCCTTTCCATAGCTGCGACAACAACCTTGAGCAACCGATCGTACTTAGCGTTGTAGCCTGGCTGGCCAGGTGTCAGACCAGGAGGCTGTTCAGGGAACAGGTAGGATAGAGGATTGCGAATTTTCCATCCAAGATGTAGTCGGTTAGGCGTCATCCCGGTGGAAGAGTGGATGGAGTTGTTATACAACCCTTGCACGATCGGCAATTCCTCATCCCAAGAGTTCTGATCAGGCACAATTAAGGCTCGGAGAAGTTGGATCACCGTCTGGTTGATCTCCTCGGCCAGTCCATTGGCTTCGGGATGTCGACCAGATGTCATCTTGAGTATCATGTCATAGACCTGGGAGGTGAAGTCCTTCCATTCTGCACTTATGAACCTAGTGTCCCTGTCACTCACAAGAGTTTTCGGGGGCCCACACTGCAGAATGTATCTTTTGTGAAACTCTTTGATAACAAGGTCAGTTGGGGCGTGAGGTGGTAGTGGAATCAGATTCAAAAACTTCGAAAAACGATCGACAATCACCATAACTTGGGAATAACCGTTTCTGCTCTTCTTCCCCATGTCCGTGAAGTCAATAGAAACAGACTCCCCCGGACCGTCAGGAATAGGAAGAGGGTGCAGCAGCCCATAAGGCTTCTGCCGAGACGGTTTAATGCGTTGACAAACTTCACACTCAGCCACAAACCTTTGTGCCATTCTTTTCATACCAGGCCACACAAACTTTTCCAACAGATTCTCGTATGTCTTCTCAACACCAAAATGTCCACTCCGGCCATGAGCCAAACCCAAGAAGTGAGTGATGATTGGCTCATGGTTGGGTACACACAACCGGTCACGCTTACCGTAGCGTCGGAAGAGAAGGCCCTTACAATCATGGACATCAGGCTGACTACTAGGGTCAGCCCGAATCTGCTCAAGGATGGGACTGAGTTCCGGATCCTTGGCAGTGTGCTCAATGAGTTCCTTCTGTAAGTTCTTGCGAAGATCGTAGGAACCCACTAGGCAAGTCATGTACTCAGGGTGACGAGACAAAGCATCCGCAACACGATTATAGCAGCCTTTCTTGTGTTTGAGTTCAAAATCATACACATCAATCTCATGCAGCCAGCGGGTCAGCGTAGTTGATGGGTTTATCTGTGTCTGAATCCACTTCAAAGTCTCATGATCCGAGAACACTTTGAAATGGCGACCCAAGAGGTAGTGTTTCCAATGGTCTAGTGCCTCTCTCAAGGCATAGAGCTCTCTCATGTAATGTAAGCTTGGGATCTGCAATGCGGAGCACCGGATGACTCACCAAAGCCTTCTTTAGTGCTTCGAAGGTTGTCATGCACTCCTCATCCCATGTGTAGGACACATTCTTGCTGGTTAGTCTAGACAATGGACGGGCAATGATAGAAAACTTAGGCACAAACTTACGGTAGTACGACGCAAGGCCAAGAAAAGAACGCAACTCGCGGACATTCGCAGGTTGGGGCCACTTTTGGATGACCTCAACCTTGGTTGCCTCGGGCTCTAGGCCTGCAGCAGACAACCGATGTCCAAGGTAGATGACGCTGTCCCTCCCAAACTCAGATTTTTCCAAGTTGAGATGGAGTTGCGTGTCCTTGAGGATCTGCATCAGTTCCTCAAGGTGTCTCATGTGCTCCTCCATTGATTTGTTGAAGACAAGAATGTCATCCGAATATACAACAACAAATCGGTTGATCTGATTGCGAAACACTTTGTCCATGAGACTTTGAAAGGTGGCTGGTGAATTCGTGAGACCGAAGGGCATAACTGTAAACTCGTACGGCCCATCGCGAGTTTTGAATGCAGTTTTGTGCTGGTCGGCAGGTTCGACTTCAATCTGGTGATAACCAGATTTGAGGTTGATCTTGCTGAAGACCTTGCACCCACCTGCAGCGTCAAGCAAGTCGTCAATACGTGGCAAAGGGTATGCATTCTTCCTTGTGATTCTATTCAATCCGCGGTAGTCAATACACATCTGCAGTTTGCCTCCTTTCTTAGGGACAAACAACACTGGTGCACCAAATTCAGACTCACTGGGTTTGATCCATCCCTTCCCAATCATCTCATCAATCTGTCATCGCAACTCCTCCAATTCGCCTGAGCCCATTCGATAGACACAGCCTTTTGGAGGGGTGTTACCTTCAATCAACTCGATTTTGTGTTGAACCGGTCGCACGGGAACTCCATGCGGTTCGGCCAAGACCTCAGGGAACCGGTTGAGAAGGTTGCAGATTTCCGGCGGGATTTCCGGAGGGGGATCATCACTCTTAGGAGCCAGCAAACTAGATTGCATAGGTGCAGCCAAAACAACAGACTTTGCAGCAGAGTCATCGGGACTAGAAGTAGTAGTTGTTTCAAATGTAGAAACAACATGCAGAGTGGAATAATTATTTACAACAAAAATAGAAGGCACATGAGCAGGCCTAACAAAGGCTATACACATTTGCTCATTAGTTTTGCGCCTGCGCCACTTTTTGCAGACTTGCATTGCATTGAGAAAGGTCACTTGGGACTCGTGCGGCTCATCCAAGAGGATTGGACGCTCGATTCCCATGGCATCTTTGACCATGAATTGTGAGTCCTTCCACGTGGTTCTTTCACATTGGGCCTGCAACCAGCCCAAGCCAATAGCCGCGTCGAAGGGGCACTGATCAAGGACATAAAAGTTCAACTCATGCGTGATTGTGCGGTCAGCGTCAAAGGTAGTGCGCACACCTTTGACTGCATGTGTAGATGTAACAACCTCTTGGTTGCCTACTAGGGTCCGACAAGAATTCTGCAAAGTCACTTGCTTCATCCCCAAGTGTGCCTTACGAATGCCGTGCGGTGAGAAGTAGTTGGTGGTTGCACCACAATCAGCCAACGCACGGATGTAACGGCCATTAATGTAGAGTTTGAAGAAGATCAACTTCGTTCTCCCTTGCGCGCGTTCTTGCTTCATGTGAGCCCAGCGCGTCAACAGAGAATGGAAGTCAATTTCTTCCGACTCTACCCAAGGCTCCTTGTATAGGATGTGGATATTCTCAGCCTTGGAATCAGCATCAGATGGGGTTTCAGGAGAGGTTTGTTGAGTGGGATCAGAATCCAAAGAAGAATCTGTACTTACATGTTCAGCCTCTCCATCGGTAGAGTGTGCTGATGATGCCTCTACCCCCGTTGCTGGTTTCCCTGCTGCAATCTGAAACAGTGTTGGACTGAATGTCCCGGTTTGGTGCAATGCAGGCAAACTCCCCTCTTCACCCTGTTCTTCCACTCACTTTCACTAATCCGGAGATCTACCCATGGTTTTGTGGCAGGATCTTCCGGTTTTGGTGGAATCTTTGCTCCCTTGGGAAGAAGGATAGTGTTAGTGTTGTTCTTCATCGTGGTCCTCGGTCCCTTACTTTTGAAAGCAGTCTTTTTAAAGGCATTCATAGATTCATCGTCATTTATACACTCAGACTCATGGGCTGACAAAGAGCAAGATGCCCCACAGTCTTGCTCTTGCTCGTCATCAAGAGAAGATTCATCCACGAGGGTCTCCTCGTCAGCCTCAAGCAGATCATGTGCTGCAAAACGGCTGCTGCCTGGAAACCGCTTGCGGCTGGTGACCTTTTTGCCACTTGATCCACCCGGGAGGTCTTGTGCCTCTAGCTTGACTAAGTCCCGCATGAGGGTAAGCCAATCTGTATATCCGCCGAGTCCGAGCCCTAGGCGATCTTTTAGAGTAGAGGGGACCGTACCTTTTATCACATCCAGACAGGACTGCGCAGTCATCTCCAAATCCGGAGTAGCAAAGAGTTTACTAACATACTGTTGCAGGTTGTGCATGGTGCCAGTCCACTTGTTGTGCTCGAGCTTGTCAAGCTTGAGTCTTGCTTTAGCTGCAGCATGTGGATCAGCATACTGTTTGATCAAGAGGTCCTCGAGTGTGGTGATAGGCGTGGCCTTTAGCCATTTGTTCAGGTCTATTCTCTTATAGCCTGATTGGACAGCTTGGGTTTCCAGAAAACCTCTCACGACGGGCTCCACATTGGTCCCTAGGATAGACGACTGAGTGGACGGGGGTGTCCCCAATACATCAAAGTAGGATCGCATGGAGCTGATCCAAGACTCGACGTCGTCCTGTCCGTCATACTTGGACGGAATCTGCGCCGCCTTCCTGTCGATGTAAGCAAAGCTGCCGCCTGGCCCAGGCATTGCTGGGTCCGGGCCCGGGGCTGCAACAGTTCCAGAATTCCTTGCACCACCACTTGCCGTTGCGGCAGCAGCAGCAGCAGCAGCGGGGTCTGGACCTGCTGCAGATCCGGATTGGTTGTTAGCCACACTCAAGGATGAAGAAGAAGTAGAAGAAGACACATTTAGAAGGGCAAAAACAGACTGACACGCAGCACTAGAAGCAGGGTAGGTAGATGGAAGGGTGCTTTGGGCTGGCTGCACATTAGCAAGCTGTTGCAGCTGGTCACGGTGCTGCTGCGCCATCAGGGCCATGTCCTTGCGCAACTTCTTAAGCTCGTCGAATACTTTAGCGAGTTGGCCAGCGTGGTCCTCAACAGTCCGAACATCCACCAAAGCCCGGAGAAGTGGAACGGTTTTCTCTTCCACCTCCTCATCGGTCAGGGCAGGCAAGGTACAAAAGATGGTTTCATGAGCCTTTACCTTCTCCTCCCTCTCCTTCTCTTTCTCTTCCTCCTCCCTCTTCAATGCTTTCTCGTAAAAGAACCGGTACTGCGCTTTCTCTGCCTCAGGGACAGCGTCCATTTGCAGCTTCCAATCTGCTGCAGATGCCATGATGGAGGATGAGGGTGTCAATAAGTCTCTCAAGAGGGGTCCGTACTTCCTCACTTGCCTGGGACGAACACTCCTCTTCCCTCTCCTCACTCCCTCAAGAGCAACACTCAGAAGCTTCTCTCTTCTCTCCCTCTCTCGTTTGCGACCGTGTAGACGCAGGCATTAATGAACCCAATGAAAGAAACAACTTGAAATCATTCAGAAGAGAAGGTAGAAACTCCTAGCCGGAGCGGCAATTCATTTGGACTGGAGAGCAGTCAAAACAGCAAAAAAAGAAAAGATCAGAGAGATCTGATCCAGCCACACAGTCTGGACTGACTACGTATGGGGTCCTCCCAAGCCTAGCCAGCCTCAGCTCCGTGAAAACACAGCAAACCAGATTCAAGATGTACAGCGAAATGCAAGAGAGAATTGAGTGGTGTATAAGGTGCGAGTCAGACTGTGCGGTAAAGTCTGATAAAACGTCCCAGCGGAGATCCCCTCCGCAGCGAGTGTTCTGGTCTGAAAGCATAAAGGTGTTCCAATCAGATAGAGCAAGGTAACTGACGTCAACAGATTTGGCCTGAGGGGCCCTTCTTGTTTGGGCCCGGTCCCACTGAGTCCCAAGTGGTCCCAGTGGAGTCATAACCGGGTCCCAACCAACAAGAGTTCCACAAAGACCTACTCTGTCCCTACTGAATTGAAAAACGAAATTTTACCCCAGAAAGAACCTGTAGACTACCGTCGTTCAGAATGAAATAAACAAAGCACTGTAGAGAGATATCACATGGCAAACAAGATACTCCATTCATTCACTCGTCAGGTAGTAGGCAGTTCACACACCTCACACACAATCAAGACTATGGAGGATGGAAGAAGAACCCAAAGAACCCCAACAGGCAGTCAATTCCATGCACACACACATGGGCACCCTGGTGGCACGGCACTTACCTCAGTGGTCGGGCTCTTGAGATGAAAATAACTCACCCCCCTCTCACATAGTCCTCCTGACCCAATTAGCATCCTCTACACTAGTGTCCTATCATCTAGGAGGGTCAACATCCACCCCAAAGTACAAAGTCGGATCCCCCGTCAATGTTGAAGATCAAAGCAGCAACTTGCAGTCCGTAGGTGCAGATATGGCTGCCACCCTCAAGCTCGCCTGACTTGAGGGGAGCCCTAAAGTCACTCCTTGTCTTCCCTGAAGTCCAGATTCAAGTTGTAGGTGCCCTTCACTGTCGCCTCTCTCAAATTGCATCACGAAGTCCCACCTTGTGTCTCGCCACCACAAACATGCACTCAAGCAACCTGGCCGGGCCTAGT